ATAACCAGAAGACAATTTAAGAACAGGTAGTGTATGCATTCCAAGGCCATGTTCAGACAGTATTTCAGCTAAAACTCAAATGAACATGACAAATGTTTGTCACATGTCTTGTTTACAAGCTCTACAATTTTTGAAAAGAACTTTGCCTTCTCCCCTGCTCTTGTAAACATATTTTGCAACTGAAAGCCTTCAGTTAACAATGTATAGTATTTTTCTTTGTTGCTGTTAAGTAGAAGACGTCCACAATGTATATAGAAACTAATCGGACATTGGTTGTAACAGTTCACTGGTTGGAACGAATGTAATTATGCATGTTTCTGTAAGGAAACATTTACTTTAAGACAAATATGGACACAAAATTGGTTACTAAAAAGACTTTTGACACCAACACATGGGAAAACATTGTTTACAACCCATTTTTCTTTTGTAACTGCAAAGCAAATTTATGCTTCAAGGCTGAAAGCCTACATGTGTAATTTGTGGGCTTGATATTGTCTTTTTTCTCTATGACACCTAAGCCAGAGTGCAGTGTCAGCAGGCACAATGTGGAACAATGGCACCTGCACACAAAGTGCAATTACACTGTGCCTGATATCACGACCAGCAGTGCACTCTACATGTACATAATAAGTGCACTCTACAGTGAGTCTATGATGACTTTCATTAAAAAACGCAATTCATTAATGCAAAAATACTGTACACAAATCCAAACAAAATTGGGGTTTTACTTATTAGACACCAAGATCCGATTACAAAATTAATTGTTGAATAAGCTCTCTTGGGTATCACCAAAGTCACCTTACATGGCTCCATTTTTGCCTTAAGATTTTTGTGGATTCAGTGGCCAGTTTATGTGATTCCTGCATTGATGGACCTCAATTTCAGTTGTTTAACATTTCAAATTTATTAACAAGAAAAGTATATTTTAGTACAACATAGTTTGCATTGGCTGAAATATTTGGGGACCGTGTTCATCTTAAGTGAATATTTTCCCCAAACGTAAAATCATGCTAAGTTCAACTGGGACAATGACTTATGATAGCTCTGATTGAAATCTCATCTCAACAGAGTTTGTACAAACAAGGTTGACTGGATATGCCCACATACATGGACAATCTGCTAGCTTAGCTGCATATGAACACCGTATCCACAGTGCTCAGTCAGATTTGTTTCCTGTTGTGGACAGTATACATGTAAAGTACACAACTCAGAGCTACATTGCACCCAATCCGCAGCAAGTTGAAATGCACCCTCACCAGCAAAGACCAGAGACAGGCTGGTGGGAAGTATTTCAACCACTGATCAATCACATGGCATACACACACAAAGACTTTACTTCCAAACTGAACTTTGTCACATCTGCTCAGTGCTTCCTTTACCGAGTACTGCACATGAACGTGTCCACCAATGTTGTTGCTATGATAAAAAACACATCACATTTGCTTGAAGCAGATGCACCAGGGCAACTTTATAAAATTTCACTGTTACATACCAAAGCAAACCACTCCTGCATCTTCATCATGCCCACAATTCTCCACTCCCCAACCTCTGTTTGGACAGTCTTCCAGTCTAGATTCATCTCCTGTACAGCCCACATCATCAAGCAGAATCTGTCCTGTGCCTGCCCCAAACCCAGCTCCAGTAACAGCCCGTGTGGCACCTGCAAACCCTAGCTGCTTGCAGACAACGTTAGCTTCGCTAATATCCCACTCGTCATCACAGACAGTGCCCCATTCGCCTTGGTAGTAGACCTCCACCCGTCCTTCGTTGTCATTCTCGCTGATAGCAAGGCGTACTGTCACATCAGGCTCTGAGAATGTCAAAGACATGTTGCAGTTGTACTTTTTCTCCAATATGGACTCATCAATTGGACAACAGTGTGAGACTTAATTGACAACTTTATTCAGGCCAGCAACTGTTATGTGTTTACCCAGTGGCTTTAAATTCTGCTGTTATCAGAACACTCCAAACCTCAGGCCTCGAATTTCATGACGGCCATGGCCTTCGGTGCCCTCCCATTTGGCCGTGGTGCCTCCGAAAAGTGATCATGTTTCACCGCCAAGATGGCAGTGCCCTTTTTCTCTTGGCCGTAGTGCCCTACACATGCATATTGACTGCCCCTGTTCAGCGAAGTACACGGAAAGCAGTATGGAAAGCGGCATACACATCATTCCTTGATTGCTCACATTCAACCGGAACACCGCGGCACCATCCAAACGCATGGCATGCACGCATAAAGCAGGGTGTGCGTGCACTATGTGTATGTGTGGGAATATCGTACACTCAGCCTGCCGCGCACCAGCAGCCCGGCCTGCTCCATGCATACAGCACGATCGTAAGCATAGCGTGACACAAGCAACACCTGCTGGCCTATCCAAGGACTAAACATAACAGCGTATGCCTAAGCCAAGTATTTCAATGTATCATGCAATAATATCAGTCTAGAACAAGTGCTCATCAATGTGTACACGTTATCGGTATATCGAGAGCTTCACGTTTTTTCGTGCACACAGGACAATGGAATGGTCAGGGCAGTATTTTAACTAACGCCGTAATTTAGTGTTTGGAGTTTAGTGCTACACGCCGCGTGCGATCTGAACTGTACATACACGACATCGGTATAGTCGATCGGAACTACCCTGATTAATTCTCACATACGTTTTGTGCAAAATCACTGGCCTGGCCAGTTTTTGTGGTATGCAAAATGCCGAGGAAAGAGGGCTGCAGTCAAAACAGGCCAAAGCCTTTCAACACTTGGCTGCTGGTTCAGCACTTATCATGCACATGTTCAAGTATAACGTGTATCCTACTTTTTTTAGACCTGAATCATTTTCATTAGATATAAAAAAAATCGGGATGGCATTCA